AGTTGGAACGCTTGTTTGTATCACGTGCATTTGACTTTGGGGACTCAACACAGGGGTTGGATCCATCTAGGACAGGTGTACCCGAAATAAAAAGACCATCCTAATGTATTTTACGTGCTACTTGTGTATTTATTTGTTTTGGCTTGCATGTTGATCGGCTTCTAGAATAGGAAAAGAAAATCAAAAAAAAAGAGGAGAAAAATAAAATAAAAAATAAAATAAGAGTGAGAGGTAGGTAATTAAAACATTCTAAAACTCTGCCGAAATTTTGAAAAACAAAAAGAGAAAGAAAATAAGCCAATATTTTCAAAAGTCATTGTTTCCTCTATTGCGTCAGAACTGACCGAACTACGCGGGTCTGATTCTCAACGGATGTGAGATACGTAGGCAAACCTCATCGATTCCGGCCCCAATTTTTAAAAATCCAAAAATATTTTCCTTTAATTCCTTCTTTAGGAGTCTTCTATGAGAAAATCCCAAACAAATAAAAATAAGAAAAAAATTTAAACCCAAAAATATATTCTTTGTAGAAGTCTTTTATTCGAAAAAAAAGAAGAAAACAAATCAAATCAAAATCCAAAAAAATATTTTCTACCTTTTTAAGAAGTCGTTTTCCCAAAATTCGAAAAACAAAAATCAAAAATCCAAAAACAAAAAAATATATTTTCTCTCTTCTTTAGAAGTCTTTCTTTTGAAACTTTTGAAAACAAAATCAAAACAAAAAATCCAAAAATATTTTCTTTTTTCTTTCAAAGCCTTTCTTTCGAAAATTTCAAAAATAAAAAACTAAATGCAAAAAATTAATATTCTTTTTTTAAACGTTTTCATAGACTGAGTGTTATAAAAAGTAAGTAAAAAAAAGTTAGTTTATTTACTCCATTCCTGATTTTCCCGAACTACGCAAGATCTGATTCATGCGGCATCATGATACGTAGGCAATCCCCATCGGATTCGATCATAACCATAAACAAATTGAGTGAAACAATAAACCGAAAAAAAGAGAGAAAAATTGAGTGAAAAAGAAAGAAAAGAGTGGCAAAAATAACAGAAAAAACAAAGAGCAAAAAAAACAACCAAAAAAAAAAAGCAACAGTGAAAAAATCCAAAAAAAAAAAAGAAAGAAAGAAAAGAGAGAGCCAGAAATTGAAATGATAGAGGTATAGAATGGAAAGAGACATTTAAAGGCCTGGATGAAACACGCAATCGTTCAAACACATGGTAGAAGCGTTTAACCGTTAGGTGCATTGCATCCTAATGTGTGATTTCCTATCTGTTAAATGTCTCAAAACTAACAAGGTTGTTAGGTGTGCAAATTAGCCAGGTTCTGTTCAGGTGGTTGGTTTTGTTGGTAGTCAGGCTTCCCATCCTTCACAATATCCAAAGCAGAGATGGCCTCCGCAAGCAATCTACCAATCATCGGTCCTGAGGATAGCCCGACATCAGCTATTCCGCAGCCAGAATCAACAGCTGCTGAAGAAAATAGAATGTTGCGTCTCTGCATGTTAGAAATATGGGACGCCTGGTCTAATGGTAGGGAACCGCCAAGTGCAACCCTAGGTTCCCTGAGTTGATCCCGAGATCTGGTGGGCTTACCAACATCCTTGTGCCCAACCCGCTCATCCCATGCGGGCACCCTCTAATGTCGTCTAATGGTCCCGGAATGCCTTCTGTGGTTCACCCCCAGGCGCCGGATTCAAGGGCACCGCCAGCAATGTTCGTTGCGGCACCAGTCTGCACCACAACACAACCAACTATACCACGACCATATGTTGAGCCTCCAATGTTCACCTTTCAGGGTCCACAATTTCAACCAGAAATAACATACGTGACCCCATGCTCATTTACTCAACATCCGCAGTGTGACTTCTCGGTATTGCAAGAAAAGGTTGTCAAGAATCCCGAGCAAGAGGAAATGACTCGGAAAATGAAGAGCCTAGAACAAAGCCCGAGAAACATGCAGGGTCTGAGCGGCCAAAAGAGCGTCTCATACCCCGACCTGTGTATGTTTCCCCATGTCCACTTGCCAGCTGGCTTCAAGATGCCAAAATTTGAAAAGTACGACGGGCACGGAGACCCGATCGCTCACCTGAAATGATACTGTAACCAGCTGAGGGGCGCTGGCGGAAAAGAGGAGCTGCTAATGGCCTATTTTGGAGAAAGCCTCACCGGAATCGCTTCTGAATGGTATATGGATCAAGAAATTACTCATTGGCATGTGTGGGACGATCTAGCCCAAGATTTTGTCCGCCTGTTCCAATACAATATGGACATCGCTCCCGACAGAAACTCTTTATCTAATTTGATAAAGAAAATAGCATAAAGCTTTCGCGAATATGCCGTCAAATGGCGTGAGCAAGCTGCCAGGGTGAAGCCTCCAATGGACGAAGGTATAGCCGGGCCTTGTTTCCGACACTATCATAACACTCTGTTGTATCTTTTAGAGGCTCTGTAGACACTGGGTTGTACATGGGTGTTAGAAAAGTCAAACAGGTTAGGTTGTATTTTGATCACTTGTTCCACTCAAACTATAGGCCTTAAAAGCAGCAGGACTCAAGATTCGACCTGTTTTTAAACAGTTTTCAATCATTTCCCCAATTTTGATAGCCTCGGCGAATGGTCTACCCATAGCAGATATCATGTTCTGGAAGTAGTCCGCCTCTTGGGCCTGTAGGAAGACCGTAACAATTTCTGCTTTATGCATGTTTGGGCCTGAGGCCGTAGTTATGCTTTTATGCATTTTTGGGCCTGAGGCCTTAGTTATGTATACGTATACTTGGGCCTGAGATCGTAGCTTGTGCACATATATATTGGGCTCGAGGCCGTAGTTTATTCAGATAAATAGGTGGTTCATCATTCAGAAGAGGGAGTATTCATATCCTTACTTCCTTTGTTTAGTTATCAGTTATCATTTCAGTTTTAGTTTCAACAGTTATCATTTCAGTTCTCAGTTATCATTTCTCAGTTATCTCAAACTTGGAGATATTAACACATGGTAACCCATCTGAATTCAACACTTCAAAAGATGGCCAAGAAGTTCATATTAATTATGAAGAACTTATTAGGACAATGCAAAACTTTTGAAGTTTGAAGATTATATTTAATAATTCAAATTTGAATTTACTCTTTTTTCTTTAATTTAGTTGTTGTAAAATGTAAACTTTAATTTGCAAGTTTGAATTAAAAAGAATTTTTTTCCTTGTATTATCTTAAATTCTTAATGAAATATTCAAATATAAGGCTTTTAAAGCCTTTGAAGATTTTATTCAAAATTTCAAATATAAGGCTTTTAAAGTCTTTGAAATTTATTCAAACATTCTTTTTATAAGATTGTTTTTATGTTTTACATTTTTACTTTATCTTAATATAAATTACGATAGTTATGCAAAATACACAAAAAAATAATAATAAAACCGACCCGAACCATAAGGTCCGGAACCGTTCTGGTTCAATTTTCAATCGGCGAGGCATGGAACCGATAAGACCAGTATTTTGAAATCGGTAACCGGACTGGTACCAAGATCGGCCGGTCTCCTTTTCCTTTAGCCCGGACCAGCCCGGCCCCTTAACACTCTTAGTCAAACCTATCGATAACAGTCTTATTTGTTTCAGAATTTTTGGCTATTATAGTGAAGTGCTGTTATATAGAATATATATTATAATATTGCATAAAAATTAGTTCCATAAAAACTTGGCTTTTATAGTAAATGATTGTTATATAGTGATGCTGTTATAGAGAGGTCTGACGGTAAAACGGTAACTTTTGGTTAGAGGGAAGATGGATTCTCTCTCTGTAACTTTTTTGACTTCAATTCTATATATTTTTCTATTTATTCAATAAAGGTATTTTCTTTTTTACTCATTTGATGGATGTACTTGAGCCTCAATTGGTTCAACTTTTATGTATTAAGTTATCGCTTGTATGTTAATTTTTTCTTTTACCTTTGATTTTAGGTACTCTTAATGTTAAATGGTAATTTTTAAAATTTCTAACAATGGAGTAGACTCCACACCTTCCAAGTCCCAAATGAGGTTTGAAAGATTCTAAACACTCTTTGCATTCCATTTGAAGCACATTAAAGAATCTCTTTTTAAATTTTTGAATTTTTTAGAACTCCATAATTATCTCAAGCTAATACCAGTCTCATAGAATAAGCAAGCTGATCTTATTAAGGAAATGGCCTTCATGGCCATTTACAATATTGAAGTTAAGAAAGTACCCTCTTAGTCTTTAATGAATACTTATTAATATTTGATCTACCCTATTACCAGCTTGTGTGGCACAATTAAAAATATATGACTGCGCAGTAGTCATGGAAGTAACGTGAACATTTCTAGGCTGGGTAAATTTGTGTAGTTGGTCCTTAGCCTGCACAATCATGGGCGAAATTCCCATTAACGTCTCTTAAATGGGTTGGTCTAAACTCCTTTGCAAAAGTAATACAACTTGACTTGCTCTCAGATTTTAACTCATTCGCCAGGACTGCTATACAATGCAAGACTTTCTACATTAAAATTCTAGTGAAGAGGTAGTCAAGTAATCTTCAAGTGTTTTTTTTTTTTTTTTTTTTTTTTTTTTTTGTGGCGGGGGCTGTGAAAGTACATTACACTTGGCCAAAGAAGATGGCGAACACAGAAGATAACATATATTCCCTCTAGCGCCAACATAAAAATGGTGCCAAACTGATATAGCATGCCCATAACAACCAAATTTTGGCAATACACAGTATATGCCAACCAGTCCAACTTGAGCTATATCTCCTCAAACACCAAAAACACTAACATAAATGAATGCTACGCCATCACTGGCCACACATATCACTAATATCTAATAGAACAAGATAACAGAACTCTCAAGTAGGACCACATACATTATGGAAAGACCTCAAATGGTTCTGCTTTAGGTACACCCCATAACCACACCTTAGTTTGCAGTTTGAGTCCAAAACCGAACTAAGCATAATTTTAGTGGGGTACACCTAATAAAATCACATGAAATCAGCCACTGTTTGATCGTGCCTGAAAGCAATCAAGTTAGCTAACATCAGAATGATTAAGGCATGAGCAGAAGCGACGATTCAAATATCCATCCACGATGGTCTGCCACGAGGTATAAAGACAAGGCACCCTCCAATTACAAAAATGAAATATCACTGTGACATACTTTATTGTCATCATGGTCCTACATTAGAAACAAAGCCTTACCTGACGAGGGGACGCCGACCTTAATCTGGACTTGGACTTGGACTTGGACCTGGACCTGGGTCTACATTTAAAAAGGGCCCAAACCACCAAAAGGGTTAAAAGAGGCATCCCCGACTTTAATATGAATTAAAAAACTCAGTTGTCATGTACCTAGTCGACTTCACAGGAGATGCAGATCTAGACTTCGCCGGCGGTGATCTCAAAACAGATCTTCCAGCTGATTTGCTGCACAAGGAAAACTTTATGCTGGAAAACAAGAGAAAAATGAATGTGCACATACAACCCATTCATGATCTACAATATGAATACCTCCTCCTCTTCGGAATTCTGCTTCTGCTTCTGCTTCTGCTTCTGCTCCCCCTCGGACTTCTGCTCCTGCTCCTGCTGCGGCTTCTGGATGGACTTCGCTTGTGTTCTCTTACCTATATATAGGACAATGAAAATCAAGTGAGCCTAAAAATAAAGATATAAGTGACTGTAAAATAAAGTCAAAAATAGTACTACTTCAAGGATATAGAATTAGGTACAGCACCCAAGAAGATAACCTAAATCATTACTACTCCACTGATTATGAAACCCACCGCTCCATCCCAAAAACAGAGGACCCCGGAAACAATTAAAAGATAAAAAGCGACCCAGAGGGCATAGGGAAGAAAGGAAATCCAAATGCAGCACAGAAATAAACAAATACCCGGATATAGGTTCGTGTCCAAGGATTTTTGAACTCTGTATCATCAAGTTTGCGAATCTGAATAACAAGACAAAAGGTTAGCTACATGGCACTTCACTTTCTAAAGAATGAAAAAAGGAGCTGAAATATCCATAAGCAACAATCGACAGAATAAAAGTTACAAAATATCATTCAGGGAAAGGTTATAAAAACTCTAATGATGCACACAAATAGATTTGAACCAAGACCTTGAGGTAACCTAGCAGCTACGGCTACACCTCCTTGATAATAGATTGGAGCATTTGATAACTAACCATTCAAAACTTATAATACCATGTAGCAAAATAAGAAACTTACAGCATATTTCATGTCATCATAGTGTGTATAGTCAACCAGGCCAAAGGTTCCTGATATGAAAGAAAAAATTTAGTTTGGGCACTTGAGCAGCACAGGAACTAAGGAATACACAATAGATGCTACCTAGCTAACACTTTTCCTAACATTTTAACTCCTTAAGCATTCATATACGTTCAATTGTTTCCCCGGGATACCAAGAAACGTACAAGTGTAATGACAAGGTTTCCTTGAAGTCTTGAACATTGTGCTAAATTTACAAGTAAAAGCATAGGACATGTTAGGTCATACCTTCACTGTCACGGGAAACTTCAGAAAAGCAAACATCGCCAGCCTTTCGCATATGATCCTGAGATGTTTTCCAGAAGGTTAATGCAACAGCTACACATTCAAATCACCAAACAGAATCCCCAGGTAAAACTTCTGTTACCTTCAAATCTTGCCAGGAAGCAGAAGATGGGAGGCCACGAACAATAACTGTATGGTTATCACAGAAACCAGTTTAAAAAATTTAGGTGATTAGGGGAATTAAATAAATTTAGCGATTAGAGAAATTATATAGTAACACAGCCTTCAATATAGGAAGGCATTATATAATCCCTTAAAAAGATCCAGTGGCACCTCGATACTCAGAATGGCGAGAAATGCCATGACGCCCTCCACCATCACTGCGGCCATAGCCACCACGACGATCACTTGAAGATGGCGGCCCTCTACCACCATGAGCAAGCTCAACCTATATCAAGCAGTAAAAATGGTTATCGAGATAGTTTGCATACAGAAAAATCTATATTTCATAATACAAGGAAATTTAGCTGAGCTCTTCTTACCCGCAGACGACAGCCATCAAAGTTGTAGCCGTCTCTACCCCTGATAGCATCTTCAGCATCACGAGCATTTTCAAACTGTATACAAAAGAACTCAAAATGATTGATTGACAATCAGAAAAAGAACAAAGAAGGAGAAAGTGAAGGTTCAAGTGAACATATGTTCACATAACCAACCTCTACAAAGCAATAGCAAGGAGGACGCGGGGGAATCTTCAACTCAACATCCAGTATACGCCCATACTGCAAAAATAAGAGAGGTCTAAAGATCAGTAACCAGCTCTTTAGTTTTGAATTAAGAGTAAACAAGAGGAGTCAAAATGAGCTACACTTCTCAAAAACAAGATTTTCTGGCCAATACTTCAACGATCATACATCAGGATCTAAATAGATTAAGATTTTCACACACTGAAACTCAGCTAGAATCATTGTCGCCTTTCTTGACAATCTCTTACCAACTAACAATAACACCATTGACATGAATAGAAGAAACTCTTAGAACAAACATCTTTAGCCCTTCATTTGGTTAAAAGTAGTCCTGAACTCTTGACTCTGGTTATCTCTGTCTTCAGCATTCATGATCACAGGGGAGGGAATCTTTTGACCAGTGTCGGGGCGAGCATGAAGCGAAGCGACAAGGCCCCAATTCGCTTAAAGCGTGAAGCGAAGCGAGCGCTTCATTGATTGTTTTTAAAAAAAAGGACCAAAATAAACATTGTACAAAGACAATATACATAAGCACATATTCAATTAAAAAACTAAAAAGTAGATAGCACAATAGACAAGCAAAATCAACACTAAATGTAAATAGATCAAAGAAATAAAAAATTAGCAACCTTAATTGAAAAAAATACACATGAACAAAAAATTTTAAAAATGATAATAATCAGCTATTATAATTAGAAAAATCCACTGAAAAGAGAATTAAAGACCAACCGAAGAAACAGACTAGGAAAAAAAAAGAATAAAAAATAAAGCAGCAATAATTTGCAAAACAAATCCCCAATAATTTGAGGATTTTCAGCAGAGAAATAAGAAGAAGAACAAGAAGAAGAAAAAGGGAAGAAGAAGAAGGAAAAAAATTGGCAACATTTACCTGCTTCAGCAGAGAAACGAAAAAGAAGAAGGGAAGAAAGAATAAAAATTGGCAACATTTACCTGTTTCGGCAGAGAAACGAAAAAGAACAACAGAAGAAAAAAAATAAGGACAAGGAAAAAATTTATACTTAAGCCTTGAACAGAAAACCCTAACTTTGTTGAGTCGCACAACTTGTGAATGTCAAGCCCCAGGTTCAGTCCACAAAATTAAACCTTTTTGAAATTTTTTTATTTAAATTAAACCCTTCAAAACTTAAAAATTAGTAAGGCGCACAATTCTAGCTTTACCTTTGTTTCATGCTTCACAGTCACAAACATACGCTTCATCGAAGCAGCATCGCTTCACCCCATCTGAAGCGCCAACCTTACCGCTTCGCTTTTCGCTTTAAGCGCAGAAGCGACTGCTTCCCCAACCCTGCTTTTGATCTCAAGAAAACCTGGAGAGGAGACAGGTTAACTAGCCTATATCTTTTTTTATGGTTACCGTTGTAAAGCCTATATCACTATCACCCTTTCTTTTCCAATTATATGTTCACATCATTATTGAAGTTTTCTTTAGCAAGAGTTTGGCTTCTTATCCATACCAGGGTTGGGGGAAGCGCTCGCTTCTGCGTTTAAAGCAGGAAGTGAAGCGATACGATAAGGTTGGCGCTTCAGATGAGGTGAAGCAATGCGGCTTCGATGAAGCGTGAAGCGAAGGTAAAGCGAGAAGCATGCAAATCATGCACTTTATTAATTTTTAAGTTTGAACGGGTTTAAATTTACAGAAAAAATAACTTGCAAAATTAATTGCCCATTGAACCTGAGACTCGACAGAAGTTGCGTGACTCAACAAAACTAGGGTTTTAGAAGCTTGAAGACTTCTTCAAGGCTCAGGTATGAATTTGTTCCTTGTCCTTTTTCTCTTCTCTTTCGTTTCTCGGGTGAAGCATGTAAATGCTGTCAATTTTTTTTTTTCTTGTTCTTATTCTCATTCTTCTTCCCTTCGTTTTTGTTTCTCTGCTGAAGCAGGGCTGTCAATTTTTTTCCTTCCTCTTCCCTTTTTCTTCTTATTTATTTATGTGCTAAAAATCCCCAAATTGTTGATGCATCGTTTTCTATTCTTCTCTTGTTTTTTTCTTCTTCTTCAATTAGTCTTTAATTTGCTCTTTTCAGTAAAATTTTCTAATTATAATAGTATAATATTTCCTTTTTTTTAGTTTTCGTTTCATCCATTTTCAGTGAATTATTTTCAATTAAAGTAGCTAATTTTATTTCTTTGATTCATTTACATTTGGTGTTGATTTTGCTTGTCTTAAGGAGGATTTTGTTAAGTTGAATATGTGCTTATATATATTATTGGTGATGGACTTAGAGATCGTGAGGAAGAGGAGGAAGAGGGTCGTGTATGGTCAACCCAAGATCAGGTGGGGTGCTTTGACTAGTGACAAAGCGCAGGAGTTGGGGTGGAAGTTGTTGGCTATGGGAGCCTGGAGGAGCAGTGGGGACGCGAGCTGTATGTGGACCACGACACCGGAGTGTATTAGAGTAGCTGCGAGAGAAGTGTTAGGGTAGGTACAAGAGAAAGTGGAAGCCAAGCAAACGGCATACTTGACACTTATAGAGAGAGCATGGACGAGGAGGCGAAGAGGATGAACATGGAGGGATATAGGAGGGCTAAGAAGAAAGCGAAGTTAGCGGTTACTGCGGCTAAGACTGCGGCGTTTGGGCGTTTGTATGAAGAGCTTGGGGCCAAAGGCGGGGACAAGAAGCTATACAGGCTAGCCAAGGTGAGAGAGAGAAAGGCCCGTGACCTGGATCAAGTTAAGTGTATCAAAGATGAGGAAAGTAGAGTTTTGATGGAAGAGGCTCAGATTAGACGAAGATGGCAGACATATCTATATTATTATAAAATCATGAATACAATGTCGGTTTACAAAAATAACCTTATAATATTAAGCATAATAACTCATAATAAAAGGACATAACCCGAATTTTAGATATTAGCCTTATAATCCTATTAATTTTAGGACATAATACTACACGTTAGGAATCCTACATGATTACCTTTAGGAATCCTATTAGTATAATTACTTCCGGGCGGTCTAATTCATATAAAATTGAACAAGTAAATATCTTTAGTCATGTAATCCTATTACTTTTAGGATATACTTCTTTAAAATTCCTATTATTAATTTAATTCGAAAACGTATTATAATGTCCTATTACTAATTTAATTTGAAAATGTATTATATTGTCCAAATTCATTTAGAAAAAGGAGAGCCTATTTTATTATAAAAGCGTAAATACAATATTAATATACAAAATAGCCCTAAAATATTAACCGGAATAACTCATAGGGAAAGGACATAACTTCACTAACCTATTTTTTGGACTACAATACCTTATTTGCTAATTTTTAAAATTAATAAAATTTTATCTATTAAATTCTTATTAAAAATATATATGAAGGTTTAATAAAACTAATTTCATAAGAATCCTCCGTATTGGCAATACATTACCACTCCATAATGTCCAATACCAAAAATAATAAAAGTAATATTAAATGGACTGCATAAAGAGTTGAAATTGAGAAAAAATACCCCCACGATAATATATTTTTATATTATATTTGAACTATTTTCCTACTCAAATAATATTTTTTTATAAATTTTTCATGTAATATTGAAAATACCCAATTATTAAACAGCAACTAAGAAACTAAGAAAATATTTAAGAATATAAATGTGTGAGAAAAAAAAAATGGTTGGTAAGAGTCAATACCACTAATGATTCTACAAACATAAAGATCTAAAAGTGAAATGTCATATCAATCTTTTACTCTTTGAAAATAAAATTTATAGTGGATAAAGTTATAATTAAGATTAAATATTCAAAACAAGAGATGAACTAATATTAAGATCTGAATCAACATAAAATAAATTATTTTTTATGTTAAAACTAAATAATTAAATCTTTAATTAATTATTTAGCAAGAGAGTCCAATTTAATTATTTTTTAAATTCATCATATGAGTAAAATTCTTATTCAAGTTAAAAAAATATCTTAGGATACATAAATTTATTCCATAAAAAGAGCGTTAGAACACAAAGTAAAAATGTTAGTATATTATTAAGAATCAAAATGTTATACAAGTGAGTGACGAAGCACAATCAAAGCTAAATCATAATCAAGAACAAGCTTTCAAGACTATATTATTAAGAGTTGACTCTGGTATAACGAGATTATTCTTTGTAGATGCCTCCGGCGTAATCGAAATAATATTTCTATGTCATGCATTACTTGCAAATATCATATCAAGAGGCATGGCACTGTTAGCAATAATAGCAAGTGGTTTACCAACAACGATTTTATTATGAGACCACCCACTTTAGATTTGATATACCTCTTCAAACAACTTAAATAACCATCACAAATATATCAAAACAGAGCAATGATACTAAATTTGTCAGGAAAGCAAAATTGATAATATTGTATGAAACACTTATGGCAAAGTGTCAAACGATCGAAATAATTGCCGAGAGTTCTTATTAATGAACCGTTTGATAGAAAATTAATGGTTTGGGAGGTGATTTCTATCAAATACTCTAAAATCGACAAAAGTAGAGACCGTAAAAGCTAGCTTGCCAAAGTTATAATTCTGGCCTTAAATGAAAAAAGATTTAACTATCAAGAAATATAAAGTAAGAACAGATCCAGTATTCAGTGTCTTCTTACTTCATGTCGGAAACGAAGAAGAGCATCCAATAAAAGATGATTTGTTTTTTCTTGAACACTTCATTATCAATCCCAATGGTAATGGTAGTACATTTAATAAGAGAAATATTTCTATCATTAGATTAAAATGTAATTTGTGCAAATCGCAAGATAGAATTAAAAAGATACCAACTAAATAAAAGGTTGATTGCAAAATTTTATAATAAAAATAAAATGTTTTTCAGTTTTTGACTCAGCAGAAAATGATACCAATAATTACTACCAAGAAGAATACTTAAATACTTTAATACCAAATGGCCTTCTACCATAAATGTTTGTTGTCAAGTTTATTAATTCTTACATATGTTAGTGTCACCGTATATATAATAGACTAAGTTAAAATTGATCTTCCATTTTATATAGGTTAATGTTTTTAAAAAAAATGTCTTAGCCACTGAAAAACTTAGATACACCGAATAGCTTATGTAATAGCACACATATGGTATATAGAAGTTTTGACAATAACGTCATACATGCAAAAATTATGATACTGGCAAATGTGCTTCTAAGTATATTCTTATCCCTGAATTCAACTTTCGTCTTCCGAAACCAAGGAATATCCTTTTAAATTTGTGTGAAAATAACTTTTAGTGTGTTTATGTTTTGCAAATATAACAAATAAAGCACAAGGACAAACATCCTAAATATTGGACTATATTTACCGCAATATATTTTCTCGCACGTACAACTGTATGTTGCACTTTTAAGAGAGATATCAAGATCGACAACAAGAGTGTTGGTTAAGGCAGAGCAACCAAAGCATTAGGAGGAAACATACACAAAAAAATATTGTCCACAAAGAAGTGTTCGTTAATATACCATCACATTAAATATTTTTAAACCATAATACATAATAATCTAACTAACATGAAAAAATTGATCATTTGTGTAAGTTTTGATGATATCCTTTTATTTTAAATTCATGTATTATGCTAATGTAATAATATTTTTTAGCATTTAGATGATTGTTGTATTATTATACATAAAATTTCTCTCATTAATTAAATTTTATTGTTTCTTCAAATAAATAAATATTTAAATCATCACGTGTCATTATTAACGTGCAACGCACATTCATAGATACTAGTTTCCATAAACTCCTGAACGAAGAGGGTGATAGGGACATTGTGTTGGGCGACTTGGAGCACTCCGAGATGCGTCGGGATTTCGGGTATTGTAGCCGCATAAGAGTAGAGGAGGTCGAGGAGGCTATGCGTAAGATGCACATGGGTAGAGCTACCGGGCCAGATGAAATACCTGTGGAATTTTGGAAGAATGCGGGTAGAGCAGGTTTGGAGTGGCTCACTAGGCTGTTCAACGTCATTTTTAGGACGAAGAAGATGCCCGATGAATAGAGGTGGAGTACGATGATTCCTCTGTATAAAAACAAGGGCGATATCCAAAGTTGCAATAATTATAGGGGGATTAAGTTGTTAAGCCATACTATGAAAGTTTTGAAGTGAGGGTGAGGACCAATGTGTCCATTTCTCAGAACCAATTCGGTTTCATGCCGGGGCGTTCGACTATGGAAGCCATTTACATTGTGAGGAGATTGGTGAAGCGGTATAGGGAGATGAAGAAGGACTTGCACATGGTGTTCATTGACCTAAAAAAAGCATATGACAAAGTCCCGAGAGAGGTGCTCTGACGATGCTTGGAGGCTAAAGGGGTCCCAGTAACCTACATTAGGGTGATTAAGGACATGTATGATAAAGCTAAGACTCGGGTTAGGGCAGCGGGAGGAGACTCGGAACACTTCCCGGTTATGATGGGGTTGCACCAGGGATCAGCTCTTAGTCCATTCCTATTTTCCTTGGCGATGGACGCTTTGACAAGACACATTCAAAGTGAGGTGTCATGGTGTATGTTATTTGCTGATGACATAGTTTTAATTGACGAGACACGGGGTGGTGTTAACGAGAGGCTGGAGGTTTGGAGGCAGACCCTAGAGTCTAAGGGTTTCAAGTTGAGCAGGACCAAGACGGAATACTTGGGGTGCAAGTTCAGCAACGGTACCCAGGAAGGGGATGTGGAGGTGAGGCTTGATACGCAAGTCATTCCCAATAGAGGTAGTTTCAAGTATCTTGGATCTATAATACAAGGTAACAGGGAGATTGATGAAGAAGTCACGTATCGTATCGGAGCAGGATGGATGAAGTGGAGGCTCGCTTCCGGTGTCTTGTGTGATAAGAATGTGCCGCTGAGACTTAAAGGTAAGTTCTACAAGGTTGTAGTTAGACCGACTATGTTGTATGGAGCAGAGTGTTGGCCGGTCAAGAACTCTCATACCTAGAAGCTAAAAATAGCTGAGATGAGGATGTTGAGGTGGATGTGTGGGCATACTCGGTTGGATAAGATTAGGAATGAAGTTATTTGGGAAAATGAGGGAGTGGCCCCTGTGCAGGATAAGATGCGGGAGGCGAGGTTGAGATGGTTCGAGCATGTTAAGAGGAGAAGTATAGAAGCCCCAGTTAGAAGGTGCGAGCGGTTAGCCTCGATGGGAAGCAGGAGGGGTAAAGGTAGGCCTAAGAAGTCTTGGGGAGAGGTTATTAGGCGGGACATGGCACAGCTGGAGCTGACTAAGGACATGGCCCTAGACAGGAGGGTGTTGAGGTCAAAAATTAGGGTAGAAGGTTCGTAGATAGTCGAGTGGTTCGCTTTGTCTTACTCAGTTCGCTAGTATTAGTGTTAGTATGATATCTTTTATTCATAGATGGCTATTACTACCTAGAGTTTGACTGCATTCTTGGATTTGATCTTATTTCATCTTGCTGTTATTCCTACTTGTTGCAATTACCTTTTCTTTTTCAGTCGTTCTCTAGCCGAGGGTCTATCGGAAACAGCCTCTCTGCCCTTCCAGGGGTAGGGGTAAGGCTGCGTACATCTTACCCTCCTCATACCCCACTTGTGGGAAACTACTGGGTTTTTTGTTGTTGTTGTTGTATGGACGACCCCTTGGAATTCTAACCNTTGCGTACATCTTACCCTCCCTAGACCCACTTGTGGGAAACTACTGGGTTTGTTGTTGTTGTTGTTGTTGTTGTTGTTGTGCAAAGTTTATTTTGGTCTGTTTTTTGAAAATCTCGCTTCACTTCTATGAAGTGCTCGCTTCGCTTCATGCTTCACGCTTAAAGCGAATCGAGGCCTTGTCTCTTTGCTTCGCTTCTCTTCACGCTCACCCCAACACTGTTACAAAAATTTCCAAATTACAATCAACTAGTATTTGTATATGCACCGGAGAAACTACAAAAATACAGGCTAAAAATGTAACATAATAAGCATATATTTATCTGCAATACTATCACAAGTAAAATGTGAACTTCAAATTCAGGTTCTCAATAGTTACATGCACTTTGATGGTACTTTTTGTTAAAGATAAATAAGTGAATTGTTTAGAGTGTCTGCAATAGCTTCCATATATCAAGTCTTCAATCCTGACCTTAATTTATCTGGCCAACATTGGTAAGCTAAAGCAAGAGAAGACAAACCTTGTAGAATAGATCTTCAACTTCCCATTCTTTTATATCTGCGGGAAGGTTGCCAACATAGATTGTGCGAGAAAAACGGCCACTCATTCTGAACTATGTAGGTATTATTCACTGCAATGCTGCATGTCAGTGTAACTTATAAACAGTGCAAGAACTTCCAATTAACATTGTCGAACAATAGTTAGATAAATAAATTGGATATACATTTTGATCATTATGTATTTGTTTGATTCGACAGTAACAGATTCAAGTAGAAAACTTTGAAGCAAACCAAGAGAGCAATCCTCGAGTTGAGCGGTGCTCCACAAGCTCCATTGCTCATATGCATCAAGATGCTCCAAAAGCTATAAGTTATTTGAAATTAATATTTGGGTCTCCTCATCTTTATAAGCTCTCCTGAAAGTGAGCAAGAACCTCCCACTATACATAAATACAAAATGCCACCCTGACCTCTCCCACTCCCCATATACATCCCTATGTTCCATAGCTCATTTTTGTCCCAAGTGCTTGAAATCTATCATAAACAAAGCATCTGTGTAATGCGATGAGGTAACACAGTCATATATTTATGCATTTATCTTACCCAGATCTCTTTTCTTTCTTTCCTTATTTTTTTATTAGTATCGTACTCAGATTTCTTTTTAACAAAACTGAGAAAATTAATCCCAAAAGATATGCAATGTATCCATAGCCATTTAAAAGTCGCATAATGCCATTTTATTGCAAATGATTTCATTTTCTCTCAACCGACATAAGACTAACATGCCTTTAAGTAACCCCTAGTCAACCAATAGCAGTCAAACAATAATTTAATTTTCCCGAGAAAGAAAACGAGTGATATTCTTTATGACGGTGGTGCCCAATCCAACTTGTGCCCACCTCAACTATCTGCCATGTAGCCTGCTACAGCCAACATACACAAAAAAGAGTAATGTTACATTTCTGCTCCATATCAATTCTATCCCACCAGTTCATTTTTTAGAGCAACTAACATCACTACTGCAGAGAAGGTGAATATGATGCATACCTAAATCAAGAGGAATAATGGGTTTGCTCTGTGGAGAAGGTATGGAAGTAAGGTGCACATCAAAGAAGCATAACCCTTAAGACCTACACATTCTAGTTCTCATATACGTATGTTTGGCATGACAAATTGTTTTCCTTGATGAAATCATTTTTTACCGTAGTCGGTTAGCTTGAATTGTGGAATATGCTATCTTGAAGGAGATAACTTCCCACCAAAAGGGGCGAAATGGCTTCTTCGCTTGCAAATATCCCAATTCTTACCTCATATTTTTTGCTTCAATCAAGAATTAGATATTTTTGTTATCCTTTAATACTCAAAAATATCACCAAAGCATCATCTTAACACCGTACATACTGAATGTTACATGATATCACCTGCTTCCATACTCTACCATACACTAGAAAAATGATCCAGAAAATGATTTCTCAATGTATAAGATGTTTAGTGAAAAAAATGGGACACGCCTTATAGCCCATAAATGCAGAATAACAACGCTCAGTAGAAAAACCTAGGACCCAACGAAATGAACCATACACAAATAATTCACGACATAAATGAACTAAGAAAAGAATAGACCTGTACAAAGTTCTTTTTTTTTTCTTTAACTACAGACACACTGATTCGGTAACTAGGGTTTTTTCCCATTTACCCTTGTCGGTAGACAAAGTGGATGGAAAGATTAACAGTGTGACTTGGGCGAAGAACAGAATGTGAAGAATAATTACCTTTGATTTCAGTTTGATACGGTAGAGAATCCGATGAATTTGATGGAAGGGAATTCCCCTTCCGCTTTGAATATTTCACCCCTTATTGGACTTCTTATCGGCTTCTCTGTTGCTGTACTGTAGGTGGGCTCGGTGAATGTGATTGCCTGGGTGATAACGGGCTCATTTGCATGTATACCCACTTAAATTATACCCGTTTTGCAAAAATAATTACAACGTATCTACTTTTCAGGTAATTTCAGACATACGGGCCTTAAGTAACAAAAATTTATGTCTAAAGTTTGAATTTCAGAATGTTTTCCTGAAGTATAGCAAAACTTCAGATATTTTTGCCTAAAGTTTGGCCTGAATTGCAAAGGCAATCACGCAAACTTAAGTTCATAGTGCAATGGCAAACTTCAGCGTAATAAATCTACAGCATGTTTTGGCTGAAGTTTTTATTTTGTAATTGCTGAACTTCAGCATTCTAGGAGTTGAAGTTTATTTTGTAATTGTTGAACTTCAGCATTCTAGGGCTAAAGTTTGTTTTGTATTTGCTGAATTTCAGTATTATAGGGCTGAATCTTGTTTTGTATTTGCTGAACTTCGAGCTGAAGTTTTTGTTTATATTTGCTGAATTTCAGCATTCTTAGAGTTGAAATTCTAAGTCTACACACAAACTTCAGCTCTGAAGTGCAACCAATGACTAATAAGTCTGAAGTGAAAAATTGTACTTCAGGTGCACTTAAGGCCAATAAGTCTGAAGTAAAAATTTGCACTTCATATGGAATTAAGGCCAAAAGGTCTGAAGTGCAACCAACGCTTTTATGCACTTAAGGCCAAATAGGCATGAAGTGCAAATTGCCCAGAAACAGAAATTTGTTCTTTGAATTATAACAATCCAATTTACGATTTAATACCTAAATCTACTCCAAATGAACTCAAATTTGATACATAACCTCCAAATATTATCAGGAACAAACCTCAATCATCAATTTGTCAAAACAACAATAAATCTAATGAACCCATTTTGCAATTAAGAAATAGAAGAAGAAAAAACCCTAAGCAGTAGTAAAAAAATAAAGCATCATAACAGCTCACCATTGTAAAATATCACAAACTACATTAAAATATATTCACAACCATCATATAAAATTATTGTCGCCTGAAGAAGAAGAAGAAGAAGAAGAAGAAGACGAAGGAGGAGGAAATAGATGCCTAAAGTTGTTTAAAAAGTGAGTACAAGTTAAAAAAAATTAAAAAGTGGGTATAGATTAAATGAGGGCGACCAAATAGGGCGCCCCGTGCAATTTTTACGGCGATAACGCCAAAGATCTTTTTCTTTTCTTTTTTTCTTGAAAACTGGATATTAATTATATTAGTGTAATTATCCGCACGAAAAAAGAAAAAAATAACAAAATATTACATTACATAATAATTCTAATAAAAAATATTCTTTATGAATCAAACGACTATCATCTTTTTATGATAAATTTAACATTCTAAAGTTCTTTGACAGAAAGGTTATACGAGAAACATTTAATTTAAATAAAACAACCTATTTAATTAATCATGTGTGAACTTGAATAAGAAAAATAAAAAATATAATAAAAATGATAATGCAAAATATCTTAAGGATCGTTTGGTAGGATGTATTAGAAAAAACAATACGAGTGTTAACTTTGTTCATTACAAATCTCTTGTTTGGTACATTTTTCAACATACGTATAACTAATACAATATTAGTTATATATCCTATTTGGTATAATCCTATGTATAACTAATACATACCGAACCACAGTATTAGCAGTACAAGTATTTTTAATACTTGCATAAACATGGTTAAAACATAATTGCCTCTCAAATCCCTGGAAACCTATTTCAAATACTTTCCGCCATATTCTTTATATTTTTATATTGTGATATTTTATTTAATTTTTTCCCTTTACCATTCTACTATAATCAAAATAATAGCATATTCAATACTAAATTTGAATTTTGAATTCGCTCAAAATTTAAACGGAAATTTTCTTTATTTGTTAAAAATCTACCATTTTCTAATAATTGGTATTTTGTATTATATGTCATAGCAATTAGATTTTTCTTCCCTTTTAAGTTTAGTATTTCAATTAGTTTTCTCTTTTAATTGTGCTCTCCTATTAAAAAAGTTGGCTTTAGAGGGAGTAAAGAATGTGGAGGGTAATAAAAATATTACAATAAAAATAATGTGTAAAGTTAAAGAATATGGAGACTATTTTTGTAAATAATTAATTTTTTAGAAATTATACAATACTTTAATACATCAAATCAAACAGTGGATAAGAAATAATCTAAGCATAACTAATGCCAGCATAACTAATCTCAACACTACTAATACTAGCATTATTCTTATAAACATGAGATGTCACTCCGCATCTTTTCTTCCTCTAAGGTCTTTTTCCTAGAATTATTTTTCTTTATTTTGAGACTTATGTTTCATAAGATTGTCAACTTTTTCGTTTTTCTCATATATAAGTTTTAAAAAAAAGTAAAAAGGACTGGAAACAAAAGAAAAGACATAGAAAAAAGAAAAGGAAAGGAAAAAAAGGAAAATATTGTTGAAAATAATATATAATGGATGCCTATGTTGAGCCCCATTGCATGTATTGTGTATTCTCTATTCATTCCATTATTTTACAATAATAATTCTTCACTTTTCATGCCTTATATAAAAGCTTTGTAACAAATGGATAAAAACACAATTGAAGAAGAAAAATTTCTCCTTCTTTCTTTCTCTGTTTCTTGTTTATGATTTTGTCACGACCCAAAAACCGCCATCTGATTGTGATGGCGCCTAACTCACCTGCTAGGCAAGCCAAGCATAACAAACCGGATCAAGATAACAAAATTAACGAAAATAGTACAATCTAAAACCAAATGTCATAAATAAACTGCGCCAATACATAAAATTCCACAGAACTGGTAATACAGAGTCATGAGCTCTACAATAGAAGTATAAGTCTGAAAATACAAAATGAAAATACTGTCTGAATAATAATAACGGCAACTGAAATGGAAAGAGATGTCTAGGACTGTGGTCAGAATGCAGCTCTACCTCGTCTCTCGGCAGCACATCAAATACAAACAACTCTCAACTAGGTCCAACACTGAATCTGCACAATTAAGTGCAAAGTGTAATATGATTACAACCGACCACATGTACTCAGCAAGTATCATAACTAACCCCGGCGAGGTAAGAGTAACAAGAATTATCAATGAAACTCTCTAATAACCTGACCAGTTCATAAATTTCACACGTACACAGCAATAGTACTATCTAATCACAGAACATAGATAAAGTCACCTCGGTGCACAAGTGATAATGTGCCAAGCCCTGTATTAATTAACAATCCAGCATATAGAGAAGATACGCATCTATTATCAAGTTTCGGTGCACAGGTAGACATATAGAGAAGATATGTATCATGCTCTCACTAATCAAACCAAACAACATATAAAGAAGATATGCACAACGAGATGTATACATTCCAAGTCTAGCATATAGAGAAGATACGCGAATAAAACATGTATATATCTAAGAAAATTACAAGTAGAGAAGAAATGCAATAATCAAACACTGATCAATTTTCCTCATACCGTGTATACATTATCAAGAGAGAAATATGAGAGGGTGACCCTAAGGGGGATGGATCCTTATCCACACGTTGCACGGATAACTCAAGTGTCATATACAGCAACTGCACGGACCACTCACGTACTATCATAACTCAGTCCGCACGGACCGCTCACGTGCTATCAACCTAATCCATATCACACAGAAAGCATATACAAGAATACATGGAATAATGGATATCAAAGTATATACTCATGGACTGATATAAGTGACATACTAAGGTGTAGGCTTGTGCAAAGTGTACTACCATAGTTCAAATTAGGCGATTACGCTACAAAAGTAGCAATTAAATTATTTGAACAAGAGATTAACTAACGAATAACATCTAACATGATTCAATTAGCTCACAAAGAGGGTACAAACATAAGAAGCATGATAGCATGAAGCTGAGCAATCAATTCAAGGTATAACATAGCCTAAGCACTATCCCGAGCATGGATAAAACCCTGGTGCATGCACATAGGTTTAACCCCTCGCATGTGCGCCACCCATAGCGCATAGCCAACATTAATAACTTATGTAACTAGTGCCTCAACCAAATTTAGGTAAGATACTTACCTTAAGCGAGCCAAATCAATACTCTAGAGATCCCTTCCCATGCGAATCAACCTCTAAACGGCTCGAATCTAGCCAAAAATAATTTAATAACATTATAAAGGCCATAGGAAATAATCCCAAACAATAAAGCTTTGGTCTTAATACAAATAAACAAAGTCAACCAAAAAGTCAATCCACCCCCCTCCCCCCCCCACGGAAACCCGAAAAAAGTCACTAATTCTGAACACCCATTCATATACGAGTCCAACCATACAAGTTTCATCCAAATCCGACTCTGAATCGGGGTTCAAATCTCTATTTTTTATTCTAGAAAAGTTTTGCCAAACCCCCCAATTTTCTCACTTAGATTCACCAATTAAACGCTAAAATTAAGGATGGAATCATGAATAATAATCAAATCCAAGTAAAAAGCACTTAACCAATCTAAGTGGGTGAAAACCACCTCAAGTCGAGCTCCCAGTCTCAAAATATAATAAAATAAACACAAACTTGAAATGGCCTCTAAGTATCAGTTGCAGGTCTCGCATTTGCGACCAAAGACTCGCAATTGTGACCATCACAATTGCGACGAATGGTCCGCATTTACGAACCCAGCTGGCCCAAGCCAAAGTCACATTTGCGACAAAAACCCTTTGCAAAAGCAAAGTCCACCCAGAAGCACCAAGGCCACAGTCGCAAAAGCGACAACCATCATCGGAAAAGTGAACCCCAATACTCGCAATTGCAGACAAACACTCGGAAATGCGAGAACTACCTCATACGCCCAGCTTCGCAAAAGCGAGAT